GTATGCTCTGGTCTAGTATTATAATTGCAATATGTAGACAAAATAAGATTACATTAACATGTTTTTATTTAAAATAACAATTATTTTGAAATATTTTTAAAGATTTATTTTTCGTAATTTTTCAAATAAATTTTAAAAACCATTATTTTTATAACTAAAATTAAATGTTACTCCATAAAATTTATTTCTTCAGAGAATTTAGGTAGATTAAACCAACTTTTTAGACAAAATGTAAGTTTACTATTAACGTTTACCTAGTTTCCATTAGTGAGATATTTATGATGTAATGTCATTTTGTAAGAAGTAACTCTAAAATGTTTATACCTGTTGGTCTTCATTAGATATATAAATAATAATCTATAGATGAAACCAAATTATATCATGACATAACAACTCTTAACAACGTTTTTATATCCATTTGTAATTACCTAATAACATTATCTTGAAAGTTATAAGTTGCTATAACTGGAGTTATAGCAACTACTGTAAAACGTATACTATTGGGTTGAAGAAATTAGTGTGTCCCAGTTGCCAGAAGGGCAACGATTATTATTCAATCTATTGCAACAGTCTAATAAACAACAAACATATTCCATTAAAACAGAAATCCAAAAATGTGTAACATCGCTCAAGTCAAATATTGAAATTGTGAATAAAGAAGTAGATAAACTTAGAAAGCGGTGCCTAGAGACTGAACGTAAATTAAAAAATAATAACGTTGTAGTTTTTGGTGTAAATATAAATTCCGAAAATAATCTATTACAAAAAGTTATAAGCCTTCTTAATGACAATCTAGGAGTTAAAATTGAAGAACGGGACCTAAATAATTGTTACAAATTGGGTAAAGTGCCTTTCTTACGAAATTAACACTTTTTCATGATAAAGAAAAGTTAAAACAATTTAGAGATAAAGGTTTTTAAATAGCTAATGACCTAAGCAAGGAAGACATGGAAGAATAAAAAATTTTGAGAACCCATTTAAAAGCAGCGAGATCACAAAATGTTAATGACACTGCATTTTCAACTGAACAACTAAAGAATCTTGAAAGTACGTCCGAAACTCTAAGTTCTGATAGCGAAGATAACGAGGTAGATACTGAAGATCAATTTATGAAGCAGAGTAGTCAAGTCTACCGTGGTGGAAAGAACCCAGCCCAAGTCGAAAATGTTGCAAGTGCTATCGTTATAGTCAAAAAACCTAAGAAGTACAAAAAACAATGCGAAGATTATAATTTATACTTTTGAAAATTTTGATTAAACAAATTAATTTTCTGTACTATAATAATTAGAGTTAATTTACACTGTAAAATAAATAAATTTTCACCTAATTTTTAATTAATAGCTAATGGAAAATGTATATTTTTATATGACATTTGAACGTAGGTTCTTTAACATCAAAATTAAATTCAGTAAAACAAACTATTTTAGCTAAATCATATAACATTTTCACCATATCTGAATCGTGGTTAAAACCAGAAGTTGATGACAATTTACTTCAAATTAATGGATATAATCTAGTCAGATGCGATAGATTTCATAAGCGGGGTGGAGGCATTCTTTTATATATTAAAAACAATTTAAGATTCAAAGTTCTGATAAGCGAAAGTATGGATTATGTTGAACAACTTTGGATAGAGGTAAATATAAATAAAGTAAGGTATGCTATTGGTGTAATCTACAGACCTCCTAAATCTAACTATTCTTTATTTTTAAACAAATTTGAAAATACACTTGTTGATATATATATACTGGGTGTGACAAAATAATTTGTACAAGCGCCTTTAATATAGATATACAGTCAAACACGTGTGCGTTAATCTTTTAGCAGTTACGGAATCATTTAGTTTAAAGCAACATATTTTTGAACCTACACATATAACTAACAACTCAATGTCTTTAATTGATCATATCTACAGCAATATTGACTTATGACTCGGGAGTAACTGATACCAATTTAGTTAGACATTTTTTGGTATATTGCAGTTCTGAAGTATCAACTATCAACTAAAGAAGAAATAATTAAAACAATAACTTCTAGAAATCTGAACGCTATTAATATTAATCAATTTGAACAGTCACTAAATTGGAATTTGATTTATAACATAACTAATATTGATCAGAAATTAAACCTTATAATATTAAACTAATGCAAAAGTTAAGGGATAAGGCATTACAAAAATATAGAAAAACAAAAGTAATAGCACATTGGAATTATTATAAAGAACTCAGAAATTTTACATCTGCTGCAATAAAAAGACAAAAAAGGCTTTTCTACATTTTAAATTAAATAATTCTACAACTAAACAAAAATGGTTAGTTTTAAAAAATGTTGACATTGGAAGCAAATGTAATAAAGAATTACCAGTAGTATTAAGAAAAGTAAATGAAATTAATTCTTTTTTAGTCAGTCCATCGAGTAATCTAAATCCAGATCAAAAAGTTATTGAGTTTTATAACGACAAAGTAAAAAGCACCGTGAATTCCTTACTTACTTTTAATACCATATCTGAATCAGACATATTTAAGATTCTAAAACATATTAAATCTAAGGCATTTGGATCTGATGATGGTTTAAACATTCATATAATTCTTTTGTGTTGTCCATTCATAATACCTTATATCAAGCATATAATTAATGCATAACTAAAAGGTATTTTCCGGTAAGCTGGAAAAAAGCCTTTGTGTTGCCCATACCAAAAATATCACGTCCTACGGAATTGAGTAATTTAAGAGGTATAAGTATTCTACCAGTATTATCCAAATTATTTGAAAAGACTATGGAACTACAAATTGGATATCATGTGTCTAGGAACAATTTGTTACCCAAGTGCCAGTCTGGCCTCGACAAGGCTATAGCTGTGCGACTGCACTGGCGTCAATATCAGATGACATACTATCAGGTCTTGACAAAAATGAAATCACTGTTTTGGATCTAATAGACTATTACAGGGCGTTTGACATGCTAAACCATCAAATTTTAATGTCAGTTATGCATTACCTTGGTTGTAGTGAATCTGCACGTTATCTTCTTTGTTCTTATTTAACTAACCGTAGTCAGTATGTTAAGTTGAACAACGATATTTCTAATTTTATAAATATTATGCAAGGAGTACAACAAGGAAGCATTTTAGGACCTCTTTTATTTTCTTTATACAAGTCAAATTTTCCTTCAGCATTAAAATTTTGTAAATATCACATGTATGCTGATGACACGCAAATATATCATCATTTTAAAATAGAAAATATGTTAGAAGCGCAAAATCAAATTAATAAAGACTTAAAATCAGTTTGTTACATATTCTAATGATCATCTCCTTACTATCAATTGAAAAAAATTATGCGCAATAGTCTTTGGCAATGAGCAACAGAAAGCGAAAGCTATAATTCATTTCAAAATTAAATTAAATGAAAATATTTTACAATTTAGTGACAACTGCAAAAATTTAGGTGTAGTTTTCGATTCCAAATTGAGGTTTAAAAAACATGTAAGTGAGAAAATAAAAAGAGCATACTCTTCCTTAAAAATAATATATCAACATAGCTTATTCTATTAAAATATCACTATGTGAATCTCTAGTTCTTTCACACTTTAACCATGCGGATGTAGTCTTCTTACCATGCATTGACAGCAATGATTTGGGTCGAATACAAAAAGTACAAAATTCCTGTATGCATATATGATCTTCGGTATCAAGAGGCCGCATTTTATATCTTACAAATTAAAGGAAATAGGATGGTTAAGCATGTATAATCGAAGGATTCTGCACTCACTGTCTATTTCACAAAATTTTAAAATTTAAAACCCCATCATATCTTTATGAGAAAAACACCTATAGAAAAGATGTTCACAATCTTCAACTTAGAACTAAAAATACACTTAATATACCTAAACACTATAAAGAAATGTACAAAAGATCGTTTTCGTATCAAATATCTCATTTCGGCCACCTATTTGGTGAAACTGATGTTGCCCTTTCTATTAAATCATTTAAAAAGAAAGAAAGATTATTTAATAAACAACACTAAAAAATGTTCATCTTACTGGTTTAACTTTTGCTGTATTCCTTTCTGGCGAAAATGTTATACGTTTTTTTTTTGTTTTTTATTGATTGTTATTATAATTTTCTGCAAATATTTTTAAAATATAATTTTTTTTTATATTACAAAAACTATGCAATATAATTACCCTTTCAGTTATATATAAATATAATGCACTAGGTAGGTACTTAATACTTAATGTCTAGTTTTTGTCACTTCCAAATATTTATTTTTCTCTTCCGCTTTAATTACATTAGGACATGGGTATGGGAATATAAATATATTTAATTTTGTATTTGTAGGTTATAGTGGAAGAATTGGTCTGCAGACCTAACTATTACCTTTTATTTATCATCATTAATTGTTATAAAATTATATGTATTCTACATTTGTTTTATATGATAAATAATAAACTATTATTATTATTATTATTATTATTATTATTATTATTAGTCATGAAATGTATGCCTCAGCTGATAAATGTCATTTTATTCATTTTATAGTTACTTGAAGCATATTGTTCATAATATGGAACATTATTTATTCAGTTAATTACTTGGGAAGTAAATTTACTTGGCAAGTACCTAACTTTAATTTTATTTAACCTCTATAATACCGGCCTCGATGAGTTTCAATTTTTTATAAGATATTTTATTGATTTTATTCAAAATAAAAAAATATTAGCTGACAATATCACCCGCATCAATGGAAGCTTCGCCACTGGTAGCGTAGCCATGTGCCACATTGTTTTGACATACATTTATGGACTTATTTCGTATGCGTATTAGGTATGACACACCTGTAAAAACCGCTGACCCAATTATATAGTGTTTGTCATTGGATAGAGGTATGCAAGATACGAAGAGCTATGCCTAGATTAGTAAAACAGCAGATCTGTATGGTACATAATAAAAAGTAAGGTAATTACAGACTTTTCATAGCTAAATAAGGTATTTAACTTACAGTATTTTCATCAGACTTTAAAGACAGCTTCATTAAAGGAGTTACAGTTGGTCTGCCATGAGCACATTGAAAAGGTAAATCGGTGGTAGAAAGTTTTTTCAATAGTTCTGAACATTGTTTTAGATTCAAACGATCACCGAATTTTATAGCACCTACAAAAATAAACTGAATTTTATTTATTTATTTTATTCATATTTCCGAATAATAATGCTAATGTTTTTATGCAATGAACATTTACCTCTGCAAGCTTCCAAATTGATTACATTTTGAATAAGAGTCGGTAGTATTTTTAATGAGATTCCTCTTGTTGATTTTAGAAGTTCTGTTACCTCATTGATTAACATATGAATCATCTTGTTTAATGTTTTTGTTGAAGTCTAAAACAAAAATTTATGTAATTTGTGAATTAAAAGGTTTCTAATAAAGTAGAAGAAAATATGGATGTTTATTAAAAAATGACATTAAGATTACAAATTACCTATGCTTTTTTTTAATCTTAGGGATAATAAAGTTATATTAGCCCCAGTGCGAGGACGCGAATATCTTTGTGTAAAGTACTGTAACATTAGCGACATTTAATGACTACTAAATTAATTACCATTCTCCAGATTTAGTAATTTGATTCTCGGGTACTATCCATGTAATATACAGTATGTGTACGGAAAACGTTTTCATTTGGTTTCATCCAGAGATAACAGGAGATAGCTATTCATTGATAAAATAATATTCGTGATGCCGACATCCCAGATAGCACAGGACGTCCCATGGACGTCCTGATTTGGTCCCGGGCCTAAATATGACGTCCACTGGGCTTCCGATTACAGTGAACACTAGGACGTCCTATTTTTGTCCCGTTTCGACAAAGCGTTTAGGTTTCGGTCCGAGTCCGGGACGTTAATGGGACGTCTATGGGACTTTTTTTATGTACTAGCATCGTTGGTCTTTGAATCGATAACTTGAAATTCAACGTTTTGTTTTTGCAAGAGTATGAGGACAGAAAACCTAACCTATCATTTATTTTCAAATGAACAACAAGAGCTACAATTTTCGGCATTCAATAATTAACTTATATAAGTGAGTTAGATTAACGAAGAAAAAAGAAGGTTATATAGTGTTATTTGTTATTTTTTTGATGTTGGTAGTAAAGTGGTTATAAAGTGAAGTGAGTGTTTTGTGTTGAGGTGAGAATAAGTGATGTGTATTGGCGGTAGCCGCTGGCGGAAAGAAAATACCTTAATGGCGGAAAGTTGGAACAAAACTAATTTTGACAAAATTATAATACTCACTTATGTCGACACAAGTTATAAGTAGGACCCAAGGTTTCATCTTACCAGCGCTGTGTGTTAAATTTAATTCATTCCTGTTTTTTTTTGTAAACTGAAAACGTTTAACTCTAGAGCTAGTTTTTTCAGGATAAAAGTTATTAAATAAAGCTCTTTTATTGTTAACAACAATTACCCTTTGTAGATTATGATCAAATATCGTCCCTCGGACGTCTGATTTACGTCCCTAGGACGTCCCGCAAAGGTCCCTATGACGTCCTTTTGGGATGTCCCAAAGATGGACGGAAACGGGACATTGGACGTCCGATTGACGTCCCGGTACCAGAAGAGGACGTCCCTCGGACGTCCTTTATGTCCCTGAAGGACGTCTTTTAGACTTCCATAAGACGTCCGTGTGCTATGTGGGATCGAGACGGTCCAGTTGTAGATCAGGAGTTAAGGAACATGTGGTGTGAGGGTAGAGATAAACTGAAGGATTTGACAGCTCTACAAAACAATTTTATCAATGAATATATGTCTAAGGCCATAATAAATAACGTACAAAATGTAAGCCCTGTTGCCACATCTAGTATAAAATACTTTATATCCAACTTAATATTAACTAGGTTTTGGAATTTATTGAACATTATTACATCTAATTTGGTGAATTTACGTCTAATTTAGTTAAACTTGATATAACTAATTATTCCAAATGTTTTGGGTTCAGTTGCAATAAAATAGGTTAAATTAGTTTAGCTTTTTAAGATATGTAAATAATTTTGTAAACAAAACGAGAATAATAAAATAGAGATGACAACAGCGGGTATTATACCCTCCTGTGTCCCTTAGAATGTCTTATTCACGACAGCACGATATTTGTTTGCAGTTACATCTCCTGTTATCTCTGGTTGTATCCAAAAGTGCTTGTGTTCAAATGACCAAAACCATTGCATGTGTTCAAATAAATTATACAGGGTATTCAGAAGTTTGATTGGAAGTTATGCGCAATACAAAAAGAAATATGGCTAAAAAAATTACTTTGTAAGTTGAAACTTTTACCGTTTTGTGTTTAGATCTCAATTCAAAATTTGGTATTATTAACTCTCAAGCGAATTAGTTAAACATTCTGAATATGCTGTATATTTGAAGTTATAGCAACGAATATAAATCAGTTTTACTTCATGCGTGAACACGTTTTTAGTATTTATATTTTAAATAACTCACCTCGTCTTTAAATTTGAAATGAAGACAAAGTGGTACTTCAGTAACATAAACACCATTACTGAAAAATTCTACGGTCATCCCTATGTAATCTAAATAAGATTCATGTCGCTTTAACATCGATAACTCATTTTGAGGTATAAAGTACATAAGTTTTTCTTCGCATGGGAATTTTGCATTCTTATAAACTGAAATAAGAACTGATTAAAAATTATCCTACGTACAAGCTTTAGCTATCAGAAAAATGTAAATACAGGATGAGTCGTTTAAAAATATAGCGACTGTGGCATATTTCAAAAAAACTTAGCTTTAAAATTATTATGCGTCATTCAGTAAATAATAAAGAAAATCTATAAAAAAATGACCAAAACAATTTTTTAATTAAACTTATAATTTTTTATGCCGTTTTACGATTAGATATTTTATTTTGATTTATCAAAAATGTTTTGATTGGATGACCATTAAATTTGTATTAAATGTTCTTTTCAGTTTTCAAATGTTTCCAAATCAATATATTATTTTGTCATACTGTTCATTAATTTTTCTAGTCGTATCCTTTCGTGTACAGCATGTTGGTCGAAAACTAGCAGCATATTTTCCTCCACATCTTTTGCAACAATAAATTTTTTGTCCAGTTGACCAATAATTTCCAAATTTTCGAATAAGTTTCTATTTAAATTTATTATATCCTGCTTCGTATTAACAGTACTAATCGGTATACAAGACTCGTACATTTTTAGTTTTTCTTTATACAAGTTTTCGAAAAACGTTCTGCCGTCTGTAAACAAATTACATACATAACAATAAATTTTCTATTATTTTAATTTATAAATATTACTATTCAAAACTTAAAAAGTAAAAATAAAATTAATTAGGCACTTACCTAAATCATTTAAGTAATTTTGCCATTTGACAAATAACAAGTCATTTTTATACGTTTCTAAGATATATTCAAAAAGTGTATCTTTTCCTTTTTGACTTAAAGACTTATCCACATTATTTACTTCTTTAAGTATTGGTGACATACCTTTTGGTAAAAAATCATATCTTTCAACCAGTTTGAACACATTATTTGCTTTTGGTGTCTTATATGTAGCATACCCTTAAAAAATAATTTGAAAATCTTTGGTAAGTAAATATAAAAATATGATTAATCTAAAATTATATTCCATCCAGCGCTGGGCAGTAAATTGTACTCGAGTACCTACTCAAAGTACTCAGTAATTGGACACGTAAATACTTTCATCCTGACGGGACTTGTACTCGAAACTATACAATTTAGAGTAAGTACTTCTGATTACTACACCTGACGAGTAACGAGTACGAGAGTACCGACGTGCGCATATATATATATATATATATATATATATATATATATATATATATATATATATATATATATATACTGACCAGCGTATCATGTGACATCCAGCAAAAATTTTGACTTTGTATATATATATTGGTTCCATCCCGGAAAGGTTAAACCATTCCAATATCCCAGAGCTTTGAGGGTTGTGGCTTCTTTGGCTTCGTACAAAATTTCAAAAAAATAACTAAAAATAATACTAATCGATAAATTTTAAATTAAAAAAAAATATCTACATCTTTCGCTTCTCTCTTCTTGTTCCCGGTTTTTCCGCTTTCTCCTAACTTTTCTTTTTCTGCCTGCTCTCTTCTTCTACTTTATTCTGTTACTCCTTCTGCTAAACTCTCCTTCTTGCTATTCTTTCATTTTTTTTTAATGTTTTTATTTCATCTCTACGATATGGGATGTGGGCAAAAAGTTTGATGCTTTTGCCAACTATTTAGAACGCATTTTCTATCCGAACCTAGGAGAAAGTGATGAAATTCAAATGGACAACCAAGAGGAAGTTAGTGATATGGAGAAAATGAAGTGCAAATAAAATTAAAAAATAATTTTAATGTAAAAAGCTCCCGGGTTCCATCTGATAACAGGAGAGACACTAAAGAAATTACCACGAAAAGGTTTAGTAATACTGACCAATATAATAACACAGCATTTAGACTTCAACATGTTCCACTACTATGGGATAAACATTCTACGATTGATCAGATCCATCTCATAATAAATTATATTTGTTCCTCAGTATTTCTTGACATCTCAAAAGACTTCGATAAAGTATGTACTATTTAAAATAAAGAAATTTTTCCCGATGCAATAATATATGTTCAACTACTAAAATCATATCTATCGCAACGAATATTTGAAGTTAAAATAGAAAACGAACACTCTGAACTCAAGTCAATAAATGCTGGTCTCACAGGAAAGTCTTCTTGGGCTAGTATTATATTTATTATACACCTATGACATTCCAGAGACAGAAAATATAAAATTAGCCACATTCGCTGATATTACAGCTGTCTTAACCATAGGATCAATTATAGACGAAATAACAGCCAATCTTCAAAACGAAATCAATATCATACAAACCTGGTCTAAAACAGTGGCGTACAAAAATTAATGAAGAAAAATTCGCTCACTTTACCAATAGACGAATATATTATATACCAAGAGACTTAAATAACAATATTATATCAAATAAGAAAACAGCAAAATATATAGGTCTAAATCTGGATGCTACATTAAAATGGAAGGAGTATGTAAAAAATGATAACTGAACAGCTAAAGATTTAATATAGAAATATGGGTTGGTTGATACAAAAGCACTCTTCACTTTCCACCCAAAATGAAGAAGTCCTCATTTACAAACAAGTTCTAAAGCCAGTATGGACATATGGCCTACAATTATGGGGTATACCAAAAAAAGTAATTACAATTGCCTAGAAATAGGTAATGCTCCTTGGTATGTTTGAAATAAAGACCTGCACCGAGAATTCTAAGTTAAATCAATTCCAGAAGAAATTAAGAAAATTGCCAAAAGAGATGAGAAGATCCACAAAGACAAACCATTGAAGTACTCCAATAGACAATCAGGACTTAGTGCGTAGACTATAGACTTAAAAGAGTAAAACTTGTTGAGCTTGTGTAAGTGAAGTGATCATGAGTTAGTGCTATGAACCACAATATCGAAGTGTGCAGAATATGTTAAGGTGATTACAGCACTTAACGAGGCGTTTTAGACACTAATCTTGGCGAATTTTAAAAAATCATTAACAAGACATTAGAATCTTAAATTTTGGGATTATATTAACCCCTTACCGCATCATGAGTCATATTTGACACAATTAACATTTTTCACACATATAACAGTTATAAATAAAGCCGCATACCAAACTATTTATGCATAGAGGTGGTCATATATGGTACATATTTCATAAATCTGATAGTGTAGCGACATTTTTCAGTAGCTTGGCAAAGTTTAATACAAATTTGCATATGGAAAAGTTGGGCGTACACGTTAATGGTCAGTGCTAGCTAATTGATAGAAAATAAGTGATATACTAACGTTTTTGTTTGTTACTAATGACTTACTATTACTAATTACTATAATTCCTTCTTTTTAAACTTGAATCACTATTTTATTATTTAAAATACTCATACTCGTTACTCGAATTTTTATGAGTAAGGTAGAGGGGGTATATATGGCCCGCCGGATTATATGGCCCAGTGATCAAAAAAATTATGAGCAAAGAAATTTTTTAAAACTTGGCAATGCCGATTCCTTCCTAAACCGGTTGGTATCCTCCATGGTATACTTAAGCGCACATTTCAAGGTCAAAATTTCAGTTCGTTACTGTGTACGCTGCGGTCAAGTGTAATTCTGTGCATTTCATCGCTCTATTATAAAGTAAATGAAGGGGGAGCTCTTTCAGACAGAACGGTTTTGTTCGTACGGAGAAAATTCGTACGAATTTTTTCCGTGTCGGTAGAATTCACACTCGACGGTTTTCTTTTCCGTGAACCATCTTTAGCTATTGTATTTTATGTCATTTGGTTATCGATATGAATTGAAAGCGCGCCATTGCCATGTGGCTTTTGCACCGTCATATACAAAAGTATCGGAAACGCACATACTTTGATTTTCTTTTACTATACGGAGAATGGTCGCTCTGCGCAGCTTTCGAGTGCCTTTTAAAAGGAGATAGAAAACTCCGCCATTTTGATTCCTTTTACGTGTTGCCTACATCTTGGCGCAATATTTTTAATAGGTGCATTTTAATCATCCGCTTCTTCTTCGGAATTGTCGGTTTTCTTGTTTTAATCTGACAGGTTAAAACGACTAAACCGACAATTCCAGAAGCAGCAGCGGATGATTAAAACGCAACTGATATTTTGCTTGCTGCTCTCAGTGTCAGTGAATATTATTTTTGGAGTCACAGTTTATTGCTAAAGAATCAGTTAGCTGATTCGGACCAGTTGAAAGTTCCAAAATAACATCTACTCCAGGGATACAAATTCAGGATACGCAGAAGACTGCTGTTTTATTATATGCGGTTGTCATATATTGTATTATCCGAGTTGCGCAGTGTAGACTGGAACATTGAGATCAAAAGTGCCGACGCAGAGTGAGCGATCTGATTCTATAGCTATAAAGTGTGGCATAGAAATCAAAATGGCCGCGCCCTACGTTGGGCGTGTCGGACCTTTCTCTTCTCTTGCACCGTATAGTAATCAAAGTATGTGCGGAAACGACATAATCGTATATACTAGGTGCACCCAATTAATCAGAAAAGAGGTGAAGTGGGCCCATTCAATTGCTTAATGGAAGATTTACGTGCAGACGAAAATACAATTTTTAATTACCTTCGGATGTCCGTTGTATCCTCTGAGCCTAAAAACAATATTCAAACGGCATAATACATAATACTAAAATGAGAAACTGCATTTAACCTATGGAAATAATAGTTGCGACACTGAAGTAAAAGAGTTCTATGTTTGTTTCGTTACTAGTTTATTAACTACAAAATGAAAAAACAAAAAAATTCAATATGTCAAACTACTAGTTTATAATATTGTCATTCATGGTCATATTGACGCGTAAACCAAAATACAAAATATTTATGATAAATAAAAACCAAACGGCACGCAATAACGGACAGCAGACGGCTAAACATCGTCATATATGAAAGCCTGCGTTACATAGGCCACTGATAGACGGCAACGGTACGGTACCGTACAATTCAGTCGTTGACACGGCTGTTTTCAAATCGACCGTACGGAAAAAATCCGTCTCCGCCCAGTATGAAAGATGCAGTTAATTTTATTAGTTTACTATCAACGACGCACGAAAAAAATCCGTACGAATTTTTCCGTACGGACGAAATCGTTATGTCTGAAAGAGCCCTACGTATTTTGAGAATTTAAACGCATCAGTGATAGTGCATAGACCACTAACTGTAAGTACTGGTGTTGTTAATGTATTCTCATAAAAATATTGCAAGTTTTATACATATTTTTTGTTACCTGCCGATAAATAAATTCATTGCATTTGGTTAATATGGCCCGTTATCAAGCTGGGAAATACGGCCCATTGGCCATATTATCCTATGCTGGGCCATATTACCCGTCTATTGGGCAATACTACCAGGAAAGGTTTTTTTTGAAAGTTTTATTAAAGTAATTTATTCTTTTTTGCAGGTACCGTCAATATCCCAGACAGCACACCAAATCCTTTGGATATCTAGTGAACATCCCAATATCCACTGAATGTCCAGTCCATGGTGGATATCTATTTTATATCCATGAGCTGTAATTTATAGGCATGCAAATGTCCATAAATAATAGTAATTATATAGCAAATTATTAAAAAATTACGCAATTGTGGCTAATAGTACCGTTCAGATATTTAAAATTAATTTTTTTAAGGTGTATTCAATATCCCATGGACATCCACTAAATATATCAAAGTCTAGGCGCGAACGCAAACCATCCGTGGATATCCACTAGATGTAATTTTTGATTTTGCTTACTAAGTATAGATGGCGATACTACTTTCGCATCTACTCATGCTCAACCCGCCGTAATTGAGTTCGATCGAAATTTGTTTCACAATCAGACTCCATTAGACTGGAGTCGAGAATTTCCATTTATTGCTGAAGAGTCCTAATAAGGATAACTTTCTCCTTAGTGGGCAAAATCAAAGGCAGAGTGTTGAAAATATTTTGAGTGTTGAAAATATTTTTTATCTCTGCTATTTTCTTTCGACTTTATTCAATAATCATTGATTACTAAAGATACCTATAAAATATTTTGCTGAATATCCGAAATCTTCTATATCCTGGGATACAGACGGACATTTGGTTGGATATCCATATTGGATATCCACAGAATATATTCTGTGGATATCTCTGGGATTTCTTGTATTGTCTGGAAGATACTCATTAGATATTTTGCTGGATATCCATATGATATTTTCTATATTCTGGATATAGGCGGACATTTGGATATCCATATTAGATCCACGGAATATTTCTGATATCCTGTGGATATATTGGATATCCACAAAAGATATTCTGTGGATATCTATGGGATTTGGTGTGTTGTCTGGGATGGTGAAAATAAAGAATAAGAATAGAAACATTAGATGCAGTGGATACAAAAAAAAAATAGAAAGTGCGTTGGAAGCAAATATTAATAACAATGAGTCACAAAAAGAAGTATCAAAAAGATTTGGGATTGCACGACGAACTCTCAGAAGATACATAAGAGGGCGGTCCTTCAGTAAAACGTTTAGGAAGACCAAGCATTTTGTCCCTAGAACAAGAAAGATACTTCGTGCAAAGAATTATTAGATACAGCAAAATAGGTTTACCTCTAACTTCCAATTTAGTTCGTCACCAAGCTTATAGATACTGCAGTCGTTTTAACATAGCTGATAACTTTAGCAAAAAGAGTAAGATGGCGGGCAAAGATTGGTTGCTACTTTTTATGAGAAGACATTCCGAGATTTCCAAGAGGAAGGCTCAGTCAATGAATTCGGCCAGAGCTCAAAAGATGAATCGGCCCATTGTTGCAGACTACTTTCAAAAACTTGGTCAAGCTTTGGATGACCTAAAGGACCCCGCACTTTTTACATTGATTTTGGGTACTGACAGAATTTGTTAAAATTTTAGTGTGTTACTCTTCAGGTCATAATGGACAACTTTCTTATGGACATCAAGTTTGCAGCTCTACAGGGTGAGCTGTCAGAAGGAGTCAAAAGTAAGGAGTGCAGAATTAATATTTTCATATATATCTTTACCACTCTTAAGTAATTCATGTTTTATTCGTGAAACTTATGGCATAAGTTACACTTTTATGTGGCTTGTTAATGCCTGCTGTCACATTTTAAAATAAATCATACAGAGTGTTTAAAAAATAGAAATATTAATTACAGAAATAAAGTGCATTTTCATGTATTACCATAATTATAACAATACTTCTGATCACTTATTTGTTATATTAAATACTAGGTAATATTAATTAATAATACAGGGTGTAATATTAATATAAATATTACACTTTCTTTACACAGATTTTTAAACTTCCACTAAATTATAAATCCATATAAAAGAAACTACATGTTTAAAAACCTGTTTTATTAAATACATTAACTATTTACACACCTTAAAAATCATCTTTCAACAACATCTAAAAAAGCCCTTAATAAAACAATTAAAGGGTAATTTTCGAATTTTGCGTATTCCAGGTACCACAAAACACTTGAAATATGAGCACACATGCATATGGTTCTTGAATCAGTCTCACATTTTCAGTAATATTTAGTAACGGAATTATCTTGAATTTTATTTTATAAATAAAGTGTGCTTCACATAATTCGCAAATCTCAAATATATTACAAAAAACGAAGGCACGCCACATACAAAGTTTCCTAACAAAAATAAACCTTACTATAAAAAAATCCTAATAACAAACTTTTGAAATTGCTCTTAATTACAGTCCAAAAAAGAAGAAGAAAATATATAATGTAAAATTGCTACGTTTGAATATTCACATCCGATTTTTTATCTCTCGAACGTTTATTTATCCACATCGGATATGTATCTGCTCCAACTAATGTATAGAGAAAGTAAAAGTTGAAAAGTCTTTTGGTAGGTAGAGAGGGGGTAAACGTCAAACCACGTCGGGCGACTCCGAGAATTTCACAGTAATGTTTACCTGCCAGTGTCGTTTCATAGAATAAGTAATTTTAAATTGTTATCGGCGGAACCGGACAATCGCATGTATTTATGGATTATAAATAATTATTAAACATGTATTATAATATTCTAATTATAATTTTACAAAATTTCAACAGCTATTCACAATTTATTAAACTATTTACTCGAAATTGTTATTAACATCTATAAAATAATTTTGTACGCCAATGTATCGCGTCCACTTCGGTGAGATCCGCTGACAACCTGTCAATTTATGTGTATAAAGTGGGAGAACTGGCAAAAGCATTTCCAACTTTTACTTCTGTTCTACGTAACTTGAATCACGTGATCAAAGATTCACAACATCTCAGATGCATCCGATATGGATAAACAAACGCAGCAAATGTAGTCTGAAATTGCAGAGATAAAAACGTGTTAACCCTATCATGATAATTAAGCTGTTATTTAATCTAACACTCGCCAACCTTTTATCTTATAGAATGCTTTTATAATTAATCTGATCAATAAACAAAGAAATAAAAAAAATTATGTTTTAGGCTTAAAAAATAATTTATATCAAGATAAAAGTATATAGTGGTATGGAATAGATAAACAATTAATGGCAAGGATTAAATATCAAAAAACTGTAAAAGTTTCTACTAAATCCTCAAAAATAAAATTATATTTAGAAGTAATAAGTTGACATCTGTACTGTGTATAAAAATCAGAAAGGGTTTTTCAATTAGAATATGTCTTCTCAGTCATTCATTCAAATCAGAGTTAGTAGAATTATTTCTACATTTAAGTAGGCTTAGAACGGGACTTGGTTAGATGAACAGAGCTATGGTTATAATACGAGCAAAACCGAATTCGTTTCAAAACTTTCTATAATATTTTAGGTATACCAATTTATTGTTAAATGCGTTTCTGTAATTCTTAGTTGTTTGTGTAGTTTTATCACACCCTGTATTACTTATAAAAATTATCTAATATGAAATGAAATAAAGAAATGGCCAGAAGTCATATTTTAACTATGGTAATACATGTAAAATGCACCATATTTCAAACTGTTATTCCTAATTTTTTGAACACGCTGTATAATTTATTTTGCAAAGTGTAAGTAAGCATTAACAAACTATATACAAGGGTAACACATGACATAAGTTTCGTGGAAAAGACAAGAAATACTAAAGAGTGGTGGAGATATATTTAAAAATAGTAATTCTGCACTCCTTACTTTTGAATCGTTCTAACAACTCACCCTGTAGAGCTGCCTACTTGAGGTCCATAAGAAAGTTGCCCCTAATGACGTGAAAAATAACATACTAAAATTTGAACAAATTCTGCCACTACCCAAAATCAATGTAAAAAGTGCGGGGTCCTTTAAAAAACAAACCGCAAAGCATTTATAACATGGATGAGAAAGGGTGTCGCCTTACAATCCATCACCAGCAAACCGTGCTTACACTTAAGGGAAGTAAACGGGTTCACCTTATAGCACCCGAACACGCTGAAAATGTCACAGTGGTTGGATGTGCCAACGCAATTGGAAATGCAATACCTCCAATGATCATATTTAAAGGCAAGCGTCTGAAACAGGAATATTGTGAAATAGTTCTTCATGGTACTTTGGTAAAAATAGCTCCAAAGGGCAGTATGGTAACTGACCTTTTTATTGAATTTTTGCATCATTTGGCAAAACATAAAGTAGCCGGCCAAGTTTTGTTAATATTTGATGGTGCCGCAAGCCACTTGGATCTAAGTATTGTAGAAGCTGCCGATGGTTTAAATATTACCTTATTTTGCCTACACTCTAACACAACCCAAGAACTGCAGCCCCTAGATAAATCAGTTCACAAATCTTTTGAATCTCATTGGGACACAGAGTTGCTGTGAACCCAGATAGATCGTTAACGAAAGCACGTTTTAATATTATGTTCTCAAGTTTATCCCAAATGCATGACTCCTGAAAATATCATAAATAGGTTTAGAGGTACTGGGATTTACCCTTTTAACCCATCGGCGATACCAGTTTGTACTTTTGCTCCGAAATTACTATCAGAGCGACCTCAAAATGTTCCGGTACATTTAAACGAACGTCAGAATTCTGAATCCTCTTCGGAGGGTGAGATTCCACTGTCCAGCCTAATGCGAAGAAAAGAACCTGGCGAAACGAATAAAACACCTGCAGAAACAAATATCGTAAAAGATAGTTTCAAAAATAAGAAAAGGCTCATAAAAGTCTATCAAAACCATTAGATCTAGGTGAGACCGACCAACAGATTGACATGAGGTTGTGCTCCACGTGCCTAACAGCATGATGAAGCATGATTTTGAGTGCCAAAATTGTTGTTTTTGCTTGTTTTTCTTTTTGTGCAATTTAGTAACTAGGATAATATGGGCACACATATACATATATATTAGTTTTTCTTTTATTTTCCTTTAGATTTAAATACTAAGAGTTTTTGATTTTATTCTAGTTTGTTTTGTATAGTATTTTCGCTTAGCTTTAAGATGTTTTTATTATGGGCCATATTAACCACCATAGGTGGCCAGATGAAAGGATTTTTATATTTAAAAAAAATATATATTTTTTTAAAAATACTTAAACCAAATATGTAGCTTGGAAGTACAAAGTACATGCTAAATATATGTAAGTTTAACTTATATTTGTTTTAATAAAGTTTTGAAAAATCCATGGTTTTGCTTAGGTGGCCCATATATACCCCCACTACCTTACTCTCTAAAATTTGTAAAAGTTCTCATTTGCTTTGAGTATTATTCATATAAGTACTCATATACTTTAGTACTTTGTAAAGCTAGGTACTTATTGCGAAGTGCTCAAGAGTACTTTAACGCAGTAGGTACTCTGCCCTGTTCTGATTCCATCAATATTTTTTGTTACCTGTATTTTTATTAACATAATAACTGGTGCCAAAATGATCTCGTTTTGTCCAATTCCATTCGTCTTTTAGTCTACCACTTTCTTCATGGGTAAACTGACTATTCCATTGTAAAAAATCCTTAATTAAAATACTTTTTTCTGCCACTAGTTCTTTATCCAACAAGTTCTGTTTTTCTCTTTCGGATAGTGTGACTACCAAATCGGACATTTTTTGGTTTGACTCTTCTATTTGTTGTATAGTATTTTTATTAAAATCGTGATCTAACATTTTAGAGGACGTTTCTTTAGATTGGACGGTAACTTCACGAGGTCCAAAATTTGTATTGTTTTGATATTGATAGTTTGAATAATTTTTTTCCAAGTTTTTATTCTGTGTGCTTTTGTAAATTGGTTTAAATTGCTCAAACGAGGCAAATTTTATTTCTGAACGGGCATTTATATCTTCGGTTTTTTTATATTTCGGTAGAACATTAGGGTTTAAATGAAAAAAATTTTGATCAAGTTCTGTATTTGGATAACAATCCCATTTGGGGTATTGGTTTTGTTGTGTACTTTTGTAAAATGGTTTAAACTGAGCAAAAGATGGAATATTTGTGTCTAAAAATGGATCTACATTTTGGTTTTTAAATAAATTAAACTTGTAATTCTGATTTATAAGTGGCATGTAATGATTATGTTTATTTTTATGAATATTCTGAATGTTGAAATAATTTGATTTACATTGTTCAGAAGAAATTATTTGTTTTTTAGGTATGAAATAAGGACTTTGTTCATAATCTTGCTTTTTATTCAATTTAATTTTTTTGTTCATATTCCTTTGCCAATCTGAAATCAGATTTACATTTTCACCAAAATTTGTATTTTCCTTTATTGTTGGTTCTAATGAATGTTGAATGTGTCTGTTTAAACTGTCTAAATAATTATTTTCCTTTTTTCTAAATTCGGGAAAATTATTTTTATATTCTGTAGTCAACTTTATGTTATTTTTTTTAGGTAACTCATAATTCTTATACTTAAATGGGATAAGTTTCCGACCATTTAAACAATTATATTTGTAGTTATTTTTTCCATAATAGCAGAATTTCTTTTCACAATTGCGATTCAGATTTACATTGTTAACATCGTTTCTGTTATGTAAACTACAATTATTATCTTTTTCAAAATTTTTCCATTCTCTCATATTTTTATTCAATAAATTATTAGTTTTGGAATCGTCTTTTCCAAAATTGAAACATATATTACTATGACAATTACAGCTACAGGTTTGCGCGTAGGCAAACTCAAATTTCTTTGGCGATTGTGACTTCTTATATACAAATTTAAACTGGGTATTATTACTATTAGTAAACATTAAAGTATAATTTTCAGGTATCATAGTTTTGTTTTCGCCGTCTTGAAATATAGATTTATTATCTTTTATTGTAGTTTGAATTCCTTTCGAGACCATTTTATTATCAAACGTTGTTTGTATGCACTTTTCACTTATTAATTTTCTGTGCCTTTTAATCTTTTTAGTATTTTTCAAATTTACAGATATCGACATCGTTTTACTTTTACCATTATAGTTAGTTTGAACGTTATTTTCCATATGAAAATTTGATTCTTCTTCATAAATTGTTTCTCCGCTTCCTTGAGAAGAATTTTGAATATTTTCATCGCTTTTGTACACTTGTGTCGACTTTAAAAACATGTCAAGAATTAGATTTTTACCCTTATCTTCATCATTAGTAAATGTTGATAAAGAATAGACATCGTTTCGACATTTTCCAGATATTTTTTCAGGTTTGTTTGTTTCAGGAAGTTTTTTTTTCAAACACAATTGCTTTTCTTTTGGAATAATGGTGATTGGCAAAGGCCTCTTAAATGATTTTGTTTTTTCTTTATAAAAGCTCGAGTCTATTATATCATGTGTTTCATGAGGATTTTCATTTACTAAGTTTTGTTCCGTTATATTATTTTTTAAAATAGATTTTTCTGGCAACAAAGGTTCGTCGACTTTCTTTAGCTTTTCAACCGATTTATAACTTGAATCAATTTTTCTTTTATACCCAAAAGCTTGAACTACTCCGTTAATTTGCGAAATACCACAGTTTGATTGAATGCGTTCGTCCTTTTTCTCAGGCTTTATATTATCATTTTCTTTAGATTGTGTTTTCCCAAAAAAACAGTTGATTAGTTTTAAAATGCAATGCTCAACTCTATCCCAATTTTTAAATTGAACTATGGTTTTAGACGGATTTAAAAGAATATCCACGTCGGAATATGGACATTTTATGTTTAAAACATACATTGGGTATATTTTTTTATTTTCTATGTTTCTTTGATATTTTAAATTTTTAATGAACAATTTACTTATCAACTTCTGTATTTTAGATGAATAGATAGGTCTTTTATTTACATAAATATATTGCTTATTTTTATTTTCTACATAGCCTTTGAATAATAACGAATTAATTGATATTTTGCCTTTTGAAATTTTCATTACGATACCGTCTTTAGTTTCTGGATGTACAATTTTAAATGCAGAAGGAATATCATCACTTTTACGACTACTTAATACCAATTCACCAGTAATATCATCGCGAAGAGAAAACGTGACAGCTGGGTGAATTATAATAAGACTTGTAATATTTCTTTTAATATCCTCTAGCTCTAGTTCTTTAACAATCCGTTTTTTCCGTACTGGAAAATTATCAAATAATCCTTCTACTGTAATCGTTGTTCCAACACTTGGTCGATTTTTGTCACAACTCACTACTCCTTTATTAGTTTTCCCAAGAGTTTTACTAAACGTTTTTGTAGATGATGAATGTTTTGAAGTGATATTAACGAATTTAGACAATTCTATGAGATTTGCCAGTGCCTCTCCTCGAAACCCATAGAATTTGATATTCTTTTCTAACCCTTCCAAGTTATTGCACTTATTAGTAAAATATCTGTTACCAATTAATTTCATGTTTTCACTAAAAATGCCTTCACCATTATCTACTACTTGGATTCTTAAGGTAATGAGGTTGATTCTTATAGCTATGGCTGTTGCCTTTGCATCTAAACTATTTAGTACCTACAAAAACATCACCTACACCAAATATTATTTAAAAAATAAAAAACCGACTTACTAATTCTAAAATACATTGGCACACAGTATTCAGTGTGAAAGCACTTCTTGTTTTTGTAATTACATCAGAATGTAATCTTTTTAACTCCATTTTAAAGGTTATAGAACACAAAAGTCATTCAAATCACAGCCACCTTGATTTAAAAAAAAACATTTACAGAGTGTCCCATTAAGTATGGGACATGGAGATGATTCTCTAATTGGAAATAGGTAGAATGAATCATGTTTAGATAAAAAAATGTTACTCGTTTCCGAAATACAGGGTGTTAAAGTTGAAATTTCAAAAATTAGTTAATGGCTACAATTTTTTTATTATCTATATAAGCGAAATACCACTGACTGACTCACCACGAGATCTCCAAAACTATAAGCCCACTTCTATTGAAATTTGGCATAGTTACTCCTTTCTCGACTTTACCACCCACTAGGAGCGGATTTTATACACATCACAATTTAAAGGAGGAAACGGGGGTGAAAGTTTGTATGAGTATCGTATTTTTTAAAGGTATGAACTTGAAAATTGCAATTGTAGCTACTTCTCATAAATAAATAATGACGTATTTGAAGGTTTTTGAATTTTCACATTTTAAGGGGGAAACGGGGGTAAATTTTTTATCGGTTTTTAAAGGAACTTGAAAATTGGAATTGTAGCCATACCCATCCATAAATAAATAATGACATATTTCAGAATTTTACATTTTAAGGGGAGAAACGGGGGGGGGGGGGGGTAAAGTTTGTAGGTATGGGAGTATAGATTTTTTAAAGGTAGAAACTTGAAAATTAGAAAAGTAGCTACCCATCATAAATAAAAAAAAAAAAATACATGTGGCGCTCAGGGACTGCCGCGGTAAAGCTATTGCATAGCATTTTTATCAACTTATGCAATTATAATTATTTATTTATTTTATTTATGCAGTATTTTTTTTTCTTTGATATTAATTCAAGTTTTTTCTTTGATATTAAGGCCAAGTTCAATTTTGTTTGACATATCATCACGATTTTTTTTAGGTTAGAAAATTGCATTATCGATTTTTTTCATTCGAAGTAATAAAAGACGTCACTTTAAATTTCTATCTCTTTTTGTCAACAAATTTCTAACACGATGAATTTATAAAACGTATGTCACTAATGAATATGTGGCGGCAACTGACGGCAACACTGTCAGCTACTCCATGGCTACTAGAGTACATACAGGTCCAGTATAAGCCATGGAAAATAATAATTTAATGTTTTGATCGAGTTAAATAAAATATCAAAATTAAATGTTTATTTTTAAGTAAACATTTTTAAATATATACGTCTTCAATCAAAAATAATATAGGCTAATACTCAAGTGTATTATACGAGTGTACTGGACAAGAGATAATTTTACCCTTTACTCCAGTTTTTTGTAATGAAACCAGTGGTAAAATAGATATTTGTGTACCAAGGCTGTATTTTGGCCGAATTAGACATATGCGTTCAAGTCTAAGCTAGTTCTGGTTAAGTATAAGAGTAATAGGCAAGAAACGGGTGTTCAATCAAACTTGACATCGAGATAGATGTCACATATAAGCAGGTGTACTGAAGATGAACTTTGCAGGACCAAGCATCAAATAGGTATAACACTTGATATTCTGAAAACTATGTGAATACTACACTGAATAAGAACGAATGGAAGTGTCAGAAGGAGGCTAAAGGCAAAAAATAGACGGAACAGAGCCTAATAGATAGATAAGTCATATTTTAGCCAGGAGAGAGTCGATGAGTGTTATAAATATAGTTATTTATGAATGTATTTTTAATGTATAATTTCAGTTTATTTTCATTTTTGGTATAAAACTATGGCTGACATAATAAAACTCTTAAAAGTATATATATTTTCAATCTTTATTACTATACATTATTTAGTATTCATTTATTCTCTCTGACCTAGGGAAAAGGTCAAAAAACCCTGGTCATAATTGTTTACAATGTTGCGTGTTCCTAATGATACAAAACATTACAGAGGAATAATACTTAGCCGATGAAATCTCATCGAGTTCACGCATGACATATTGTGGTATGGAATATGGCTATCTCTGATGCATCTGCAGATTTAAATTTATTTTTGCGTACTGTTTTCTATCAACTGATACCCCAAATTTATACAAGCCACGTCTTCGCACCACAATGTGACATAGCATCAAATCTGCTTAATCTCGTACCATTTTTTTAAAGTATCAAGGATATTCTTGGTGTAGCTGATCATCATGTTTCGAGTCACTGAACCTAAAAAATAACAAATATCAATAAATAGAATTCGGAATTTATTCTAAAAATATTTTTCTTTGGGAATTATATAGGATTTCTCGTTAATATACTGACAAACTTTTAAAGGTGGTAGGTGCATCAAAATAAACATATTTTTGCTTAATAAAATAAAAATAATTTTATTGCCCAACAAATTAATCCATTTACAGAACAAAATACATGAAATAAATGTTAAACATAATATTTCGACAGAAAATAATTTTAGCAACAGCAAGAAAAAAAAAGAAAGAATCCTAAATACATTAGCTACAAATTAGTACAACTAATGGTCGAAATAAATATCCCAATCAGAACAAAATTAATTAAAATTTGAGCACATTAGCCTTATAGGCGAATTTCTTCCCAAGTTCGTTCAAATACTTGCTGTATAAAATGTTTTATGATATCTAATGGCTGTTTGGGGAACATTAAAATTTATTTAATTTATCAAAAATAGTACATCAATAGTGTTATGTAATATTTTATAAAAAAAAATGTAACACTGGGAACTACCCTTCTTTTTTCGAAAGAAGCAGAGAATCTTCAATACCTCGAATTGGATACAGCTCATCTATTTTAAAAGAAAGGTACTTAAGAGATCGCCGCTGAACATTTTCCAATGATCTTTTATGAATATTGTAAATAAGGTTCCAGACAAGAGATGCATATTCTGGCCTGGAACGAACTAAAGAAAAGTAAGGATCTCCAAGCTTTAAGAATTTGTTAAAGAACGAGTATTACGGAATTAAGAACCCTAAGCTTTTCAACGCAGAAGCAACCTCGGAAGCAACGGTATTTTCAATATAATCCGAAAAAGTAACTTTTTGGTTGAATAATATACCTTAATCTTCAATTTGTGCCACAAGTCCAAAAAAGGTAGGCTGTTAAATAAATAATCAAACTCCACCTTGTTATTACTTCTAGTATAGGAACATACTTTACATTTAGATACATTCATAAACAGCTTGTTTTCATTACACCAATTTTCAACGATTCCCAAGTTGGGTCTGTAAAAAGTAACAGTCTTGAATTGATAAGATTGAGGTAAATATTTTTAAGTCAGCAGCGAACAGCAGGTTAAATTTATTGCCAAGTCATTTATAAATATACTAAATAATAGTGGCCCCAGATTGGAGCTCTGTGGAACTCCAGATGTTGCTGTGAGGGGTGAAGATGAAAATCCGTTGTAAAAGACATAATTAAAACGATGATTTAGGTAAGATGAAAATAATCTCAACAGCGACTGATCAAACCCTAAGCTTTCCAACTTCCTTACAAGAATATTATGATTTTTAATTATTACAAAATACATTATGTATGTACAAAAAATATTCTAAACATATTTTAACTAACAAGAGTTTTATTTTTAACTAGTTGTAATTAAAAACAAATGTCATTTTTAAAACTATGTTTAACAATAACCGATGAGTATACAACAAGGTTCACAGTTTAAACTAAGTCTACATTTTAACTGCCTATTGTACAACCCGCCATATGTACAATTAAAAATTAATTGTATTTCTTTAAAATGCACTTGATTCTATTGATCAAAACCATTCGATAAAAAAAAAATAAAAAGTATTGGTATAAAGGTGGTTTTTTATATCTATGCTATAAAGCATGCATTGGAGTAGCATGTAGATTACCTAAGTATCAGGTCAGAGATATTAAAATTAAATAACATATGTAGTGGGATTCTCATCTTTCAATGCGTCTTCTATAGAGACTCCTATCTTTGTTCGCCAGACAGCGATTTTGATGTAATGACTCTCTCTATTCTGTATGTAATGTGTCGAGTTGGCACAAAAGAATCGCTGTTCTGATCAGAAGAAATTAACCACATCAAAGGAAGAAAATTAAGTCCCTTGTTATTTTTAATTTATATTAATGATTGTTAATGTTGCAATAATTAATATGACATTTACCTGTTTGCCTTTGATGTCCTTATCTATGTTTCTTGTAAGTTGTAAGGATTCAGATAACTAAGAGTTAATTGTCAATGAAACTCTGCAAAATGTTTATAAATGATGTTGCAATCATTTGTTAAAAATCAACACAAATACCTAAAACAAAATATAAGCTGATAAGTAATAACTATATGCAGTTTGTGGACAAACAATACAGGAAATTGGAAGAAAATCTATACAGTTAGTAGAAAAATTCAAACATTTAAGGGTAATTATTCGGAAACAGATGAAATTCACAGACCATAGGCAAATACTGTTATCAAAAGAATTGCAGTTAAATTACATTTCCTATTTAGAATGTTATTAAAATAATTGTTATATTATTACATTATTTTTTACTAAATTTGAATATTGTGATATTAGCAAACTAGCCAAATAAAGAAAATAAATATAAAATAAAAACCGAAAACATACCTGGATCTACAATAATATATATAAATAATATAAGTACATGAGGGCTATGATTGCATCTTTTAAATTATTAAAGTCCATTAAATTGAAATGACACGTCAAACCATAAACGTCAAACTTTCAAAACAAACATGCTTGTGTTTCAAACAGAAAATAGCATTTATAGAATAATTTATTTACTTGCAACCTTTCCCCACACACTACCTCGCCCCTCACCCATAAACATGGTCAAATTGGGCTAAGCCATTTTACATTCGTCTGCATAGGGAGCGATGTTGCAATTTTTCAATTTTTAGTGTCTATTCCGTCTGTTCAGATGGCAGCATCTTATGGGCCCTACATTTTTAAATCTTATCACAAGAATCCTGAAATAATTAGGCAAAAATAAAAGAATGTATGTTGCGTTTTAACTTTTAAATACTATAAAAAATGATGGAAAGTCCATAACTTTTAAATATTTGTTAAATATCACTTATTAAAATATTTTGCATTAAAAGTAAAACAAACCATAGACTTTCCATCATTTTTACAGTTTTTTGAACCCATTTATGAAAACAGTTTTTGAAAATATTATCGTTCAAAGCTGTATTTCTTGTGATAAAAAAGTCGCCGTCACTTGTCATTGAACTTGGCCTTAATTCAAGTTACACTTTTTGAGCGTGGTGACCGATAAGAAAACAATTTTTTTCTTTTATTGAATAAATGAGAAGTTAATATTGTTTAAAATATTTTTATTATCTTACAATACAAGTAGGTTATTCATGAATTTTTATCATTGAAACTATAGGTTTATAGTAACTGAAATAAGAAACATAAGTTTGAGACTTGATATCCTCTAAATATCTGGAAAATAGGTACAGCGTCAATGATGGTCCCATATTTTGTTGTGGATTCTTGTGGATCATTATTCATTTTCAAATTCAGTTTTTCCGAAATTGTGTCTAAAAGAGATAAAATCAGTTATGAGCAGTTAGCAGCTAGTCTACACGCATACATCTAGTCACACGCACACAAATACCGTGCCGAAGTCTGCCGAACTAAACGACGTTAGATGATGCACGGCTTTCAACGCCGCACCGCTGTACCGGTCGGGGTGGGGGGGGGGGGGTGTTAGGTTTATTTTCGTTACGGAATTTCTTTTTCGATTTTCTTTTATTGAATAAATGAGAAGTTAATATTGTTTAACGCCGCACCGCTGTGCCGGTCGGAGTGGGGGTGTTAGGTTTTTCGTTACGGAATTTCTTGATTCGGTCGCCGCGCTCAAAGCTATGCAATAGCTTAAAAAAATTAAAATAATTAAAAACAAATAAATGAAACTTCTTACGGTCTGGTATGAAAAATATGAGAAGTGAATTGATAAAAACGACTTATCTCGATGTCCCGACACTCCGACAGGCTATGGGAGGACTGCTTTTATCACGGACAGTTTTATGTGACTTGTTAGTCAGTTTTGCATGCAATCTGGTGATATTAGCAGATGAGAACCGTACCAGAAATGTGGTATACAAAGAGATTCTTAATTAGATACCATGAACCCTAAAAAACGTCGTCCTCTTTTTGGGAAGTCGTGCATTTTTTATATTAAAAACACGACTGTACGTGTGCAAAGCCGTGGGCAACAGCTAGTTCATTATAATTTTACTAAATTCGGCAAACGTTTTTGGTGTCATATGGTACACCTATAATCAAAAAAATCAGTTAAATAAACTTTGCTAGTGGCGTACGGCATGGGTAAGTACCTAACACCTTCATCCATTCTAAATTTTCGCCACTGTCTAAAAAATTATTTGGACTATAATTTCTTTTTTTTTTAATATTTTTTAAATAAATTAATAAATTGTTTTCAACTGCTAATATAGATACAATGATATCTTGTCCTTTCGAATTTTGTATTATGCTTTAGAGTGCGGAAAAACTATACAGTTCTAACTAAGGCACTAGTGGCCGGAATTCTCAACTCAACGTTTCTGTTAAAAATGTGAATAATAAGTTTTTTTTTATTAATAGCTTCAGTGTTATACAAAGCTGTAAGTTCGGAACGTAATAAGACCATGTCAAAAATTGAGGGATTTATTGTTCACTGACGCCACATTTAGCACGTCCAGATGTGCATTGCTTTCAATTATACCATCATAAAAGATTACGAAAGTCTGGGCTACCGAAATGTCAATGCACCCTCGCAAATAGATAATAAATTAACAGCCCAGCTGTTTGGGGTAAGTGACACATCGAGCGGCTAGACTCACATTTTACACGAATATGCTTAATGTTATTGCATCAGTGTTGGACCATCTAAAATAATTCTCTCAATCTTCGTACCATGTGTAGATCTGCATAAGGGGTAGTTCGCTGGTATTGATCCGGCTCTATTCTAGTAGGACTACACTACATAAACCCCCGTAGGTGAGGCTGAAACATAAGGGATATCCGTTTGTTATTGCAAGACTGTATCTCAGTAAGCGCACCTATATAAAAAAAGAAACGACGAAACGAATAATTATTAAAGATAGTGCATTTCTGAGGACGTCAGCTGTATATCCTCAAGTATTCTTCAACAGTATATATTTGATAGAGGGTGGCCTGTTTATTTGGGCGGGACACATGTGAGGTCTCGGTGAGAAATATTTCTCATTGCCCAATATAAAAATAATTGTACAAACTCGATTTATTTGAGGACAAAATAAATTAAGTTAAACATATTTTGAGCATTATTTTATTCATATTTGTACCAAACTTTGCATCGAATCGTAGTTTATCTTAATTAACACTATCACAACATGGGAATATAAATTATCAATTAACTAACTAAACGATCACTACTAGGGGAAAATGCCAAATACAGTATGAATTACTTTGAATTTCACAAAGGGGGGAAGTAATTAAATACGTGCTTTTAAATAATTAAGAAGTGACCGGGGGTGGGCGGTTACAGTATTATTGAATTTCTCATTTTTTTGTTTTATTTATATAAAAATATTTTTAAATTAATAAATTATTAGGTTTTTATGCCGACATTCCAAACATGCTGTCCTGTGCTAGGTCTACTGTTCTGTTTAACCAGAATATTTAAATTTATTGTACTATTTGATATGAGAAACGTAATAACTCTTTTATTACATTTAATTGTTTTTAGAAAGTAGCAGCTTCACTTAAAATATTAAGAAAAATAGTGTGTACAATTAGAAAAAAAAACATGTTTCATTGTCTATATCAATCTAAATTTATTATGCTATTTATATTTTATACTATACATGAAATAAAAAATGCTTTATAAAAACTGAATCACTTCTACAGAATTAATAAAACTAATTTGTTGTTGACTAATTTTGTATCTTTGTTAATTTTATATTAATCTAAAATTATCCTATGTATTTTTATCTTTAACTAGTTGTTTTTTGTACATTTCTTTCAACATATTAAGATTTTCCTGCAAAGACCCCACTTCTTCAAATCTTTGCGCATCTCTGGCTTGCTTAATATAACTTCTAACGATGTTCATTTGCTCCAAAAGAGGATCTGCTTCTTCCGTCACTGTTGCTTCATTGGTAACATTTGCAGGAGACCAGCCAGTAGTTACCATAACTTTTTTGATACTAATATTTGAAATTGGAATGTCATCATCAGTCACCTTTGCAAGACGTTCATTTTTTATTTTTTCGAGGTCTTGTGGAGTTGGGGGTGGAGGAAGAGTAATTAGTTCCTCCTTAATGAAGCTTGAAGTAGCTTTTCTAATACTATTTTGTAAAATGGCCGCCTTTGGTGTCTCAGGATCCACAGGTACTGAAGCAATCTTTTTGCTTATTGTATCAATCATTTGTGCTTTATCTGCAATAGAATTTCTTAGAGACTGTAGATCTTGTAAGAGGTAAGTTGTTTCACCAGATTTCAACGAATTGTATATCTAAAAAAAATCAAAAACAATATGAAATTATAAGCAATAAAACTATTTCACTAAATAACTAAATACAATAGCGCATCCCGACCATCCTGAAGTTAGCCCGATGTTCTCACACTTTCAAGCTATGATCGAAAGGTTCATGTTAAATAAAACTTTTCGGTTTGATCAAACCCCTTTGAATTACTTTTTTTTTTTTTTCATGTAATGTAAATCTACGGAATATATTAAGTGTGGAATCATGTTAAATTAAATTGCATTTTGTAAAAAATGATTCAATTTATTGATAATAAATACCTTGTAATACATATCAACAGCACCCTGTACTTGACTCTTCATTTTTTGTAAATGAGAATATAATTGACAAATAATAGGTTGTAACACTTGTTCTATTTGTACCCTTCTTCTGCTCTCTAACATGTCTAAACAGTGGTAGCATATCCTAAGACTATCTGATTCTTTACTAGTCTGCTGTTCTTTACAACTTCCATTATTTACTGGTGTAACAATTGTCTCTAAAATACGTACATAAATTATTCATTTATTTACAATATATCAAGAGGTTAAATCAATTTACAAATTAAAAGTTAGCATTTCAATGGACACTTAGTGATACATTGCAGATTGAGAAACGGCAATAACGCATTATTTATGCTAAAAACACTTTTTTTTTCTATAATATGCTGCATTGGTGTGGCGTAATTTGTGTGCCAAACAAAAACAAACCATTCTGTCATTAATTTTGTCACATTCGTTTTGTTTTTTTAGTTTTTTTTTAATATGTTTGTAGGTCATAAAATATAGTTTAAAGGTAAGTAACGAATATTTTGAATGTGTAGTTATTGCAGTGGTATGCTTTTAGATGAATACAATCTTGAAAATAAAAGCAATAACAATTAAATTGATACAACCTCTATTTTTTTTTTAAGTTTAACAATATTCATTTGTATTATTATTAAATTACAGAATGTATTACTAACGATTATTTAATTAAAATGTGATCTAATTACTTTAGGAACATATTTTAAGGCCTAAAATTAAATAATAATAGTTAAAAAACTAGATATTTAGTCTATAAACAACTCTGTTTGGCACATAATTAACATTATAACTAATACACCCTACAGCAATTAAATACATATGTTAATTTTGATCTAATTTATGGACTTCCAAATCTTTATATTCAGAGTCCCTATGGCAGGTAAAATTTAGGTTGGTATGAGTTGTTTGGATTTATAAATATTTAAAATATTTTTTTTATTTCGTTATTTTTGCTTTAGTTAAAAAAAAATAACAAAATACGTTTTTATACTAATTGTACCAATGGAACTTACCTATGGTACAAGGTCACGGACTTCAGAATCTATGTGGTCTTGAATCACAATAATTCCTATCAGCTAAACGTTTCGCCAGTTTTCATTTTGTAGTAATTGTTACTTTTATTTAATGTATTTTAATTATTTGTAAAGCATAGAATTCGTCTTAAAATGAATTTAACATTTAGAGAGCTTTCATAGTGCTGATGATACCTGAAGTTGTGGCAAGTTGTTGGCACTTTAATGAATGTAGTGGCAAAGTAACTTATATACCCTTTAACTTTAATTTTTCGATGGGCCATTAATGACTTAACTCTTTTGTACATGCAACTGTAAAATCGTTATGGCCCGTTTTAAATTTTCAATTAATAACCTTTTAACTTTAATTTTTCAATGGCCCATTGATGGCTTTTTTAACTGTTTTCCACATGAAACTCAAATCGTTATTTGTAATTAACTGCCATTTAACTTTAATTATTTGATGGGCCATTGACGGCTTTTTAACCATTTCCCACAAGCAACTGTAAAATCGTTATTGTCCATTTGAAATTTGTAATTAACTGCCTTTCAACTTTAATTATTCGAAGGGCCGTTGATGGATTTTTAACTGTTACCCACAAATAAAGAGAAGAAGAGGAGAATACAGTCAAATAGGGTAACATTGGACCAATGGGGCAACATTAGACCAGACAATGAATTTTATTTACTGTTATCGTCTAAAAAAGAAAGATATCCTAATATTTACAACAGGACCCATAGCTAATTGCAACTTCAACCTTTTCTGTAAAAAAAATAAAAACTTAAATACAAATTAATTATAACTAATAACAGACCTGGGGTCTCTACATTAACACTAATATGGTTTAATCTTACCCATAGTCTTTAAATTGTAAGAAATCAGTAATTTATCTCGATGAAAATACTTTGGTCAATGTTACCCCAAATCCAATATAACTTTGGACCACACCCAAAAGTATATTTTTTTTTATTTACAATAAATTTGAATTTTTTTTAATTTAAAATTCATATAGTTCACTTTACAGAAATACCAGTAGGTGCATCATTCAATATAATTGTGTAACAATAACAAATAAATTATTTATAATAATAATATAATAATAATTATTATTTATAATAAAAACCTGGTCCAAAGTTACCCAATTTGAATGTAACCTAACCCATTATATTGTGTTTAGGGTGAAGATTTAACCTGCACAAATTCGGCATATTTTTAATTGTTTTTCAGGCCACTCAAATATCTAAATTGTTTTTAATAATTGTGTTCAGATAATTATTATACAGAGTGACAATTTAAAAACTTACAATGGCTATATCTCATGAACTAAAGGTGATATCAGAATAAACACTTAGATGAGGAATGTAGGATGTATGAACACCATTAAAAAGGTAATTTCTTGAGAATGCTGCAGTATATTAGTACTTAAATGTGCCCAAAATCTCGATTTTAGTCCCCTCTTGAAGGGAAAAAATGGTTATGTACCTAATACAAAGTGTCTCATATGAGAGCTAATTTCATTAGTAATTCAATTACACCACATAAAATGATTTTTTTAGTTGGGTGTTGACATTAATGAAAACCTTGTTATATAACATGTAGACATTTAAACATAAACTCTCATAATCACAAATTGTCAAAAAATTAGACAAACAAATTAAGATGTCAACAAATAACATTTGGTGCTTGTTCCTTGGCACATCAGCATTTCATTTGACTGACTTACACTGTTGTCGGGTCAAATAATTATTATTGAGTTCTCCTTTAAATATAAAAGCAGGACATTTGGGTACTTTGGCAGCAGGTGGAACAGTGTGGTAATCACACCTAAAGTTGGTCATCTGGCAACCGTAGCCTTATACAAGCCCTTTGAAGGTATTAAAGGAAACTGCAGGCAAAGGGTAGGGCTTTCACTATTTATTATTGATAAAGTAATGAGCTATATACACGCCCATTGAAGGGAAGTTAACATTAATACTATGGAAAACAGCTGGTCTTCTGCCACCCTTTGTGACAAAAAGTCGACTTACCAATGCCAAACCCCCAAAAAAGGACACTACTTGAAGTAACATACATACATTTAAAATATGTTAACTTGCCATAACAAAATGTGTTTTATTTACTTAAATTTACAAGTAACAAAATGTCTTTAGAAGTTCATTCTACAAATGTTTTGGGAAAAACTTGTAAAAATCAAGAAGAGCTCAAACTAGACCATTTATCAACATTCCCTCTTGATAAATCTTTTAAAAAACCATAATTTCCATATATTTTTTATAAAATGTCATTTCTGTTCTGTGTAGTTTTAATCTATTAGAAAAAATAATTATTTTTACACTTACGTGCCATTTCATAGGGTAAAAAATAGGAACAAGATGTACACATTATGCTTCCACATAGCCTACAATGATGTTGTCTTCTTGTTATATTAAAAGATGAAGCACAAGATGGGCATCTTGTTACTGTAGAACCATCTAACCAAGCTACCAACTCTTGCTCATGTTGTTTTCTATCTGCAGCAAACACTCTTAAGAGTCTATCTAATCTAATTATTAGTTTATTAGTTTCTGCTGTCTTGTGATCAAGTCTATCCCTTCTTATAGACTTAAAATATTCTGTATGAGATATTGTTGGACCAGGATCCTGCGGTTCACTATACTCTAAGTAATACTTCTCTTTCTGAAGAGATATTTCATTTTTAAAATGTTCAAGATCTTGGTCATCTACTGTTAAAATTTTTTTCTTTACTTTTCCATAAATATCTACAAAACTTCATTTAAGAAAATGGAGTAATTCTTAAACTATGTTACCTTTAATAGAACTTAAAATATCCTTTTCTTCTGAATGTATATCTTGAAAATGGGTGATTAAATTATTCGCCGAACGCAAATCTTTATGACAAATTGGACATAAAAATCCTTCTTGAATTAAATTCGCTTCAGCCATTTTCAGATAATTAATTTAATTTTGTATTTATAAATTTTAAATTGGATTTACGCCTACGATCACATCATACACTGATCATACACAAAGTCACAAAACAAGATAACCTAAAAAATTGTACTTGTGTTCTCTTCTTCTTCTCGTTGATTAGTCTTGTCTATATATTGACTACAGACACTATTCTATTTATTAGGAAAACCAGTTTTTCTATGGGACAACCATAGAAAAATAAATCGCAATGGAGCATTTATTTAAAATTATTTTATCATCCTAGGAACTATATTCTATTTTAAAAACAAAACATTCAACTTGTCAAATAATTATTGACATTAGATTTTCGCATAGATTTCAAAGTTTTATCAATAATTAAATTATTTTCTTTTCAAAGATGGATTCTATACTATTACCAAACGAAATTGAAATGTACATAGATACAATGAGTCCTCAAAAAATGCAGAACCTAGGATCACATCAGTAAGATATTTTCATTGATAATGTATCACAAATTAATTAAACAATATTTAATAAAAATCTATATAAGAAATTTACTTTAAGATGGCTAGAGTTTCACCAACGGATTCAAAAATTAAATCAAGAAGCCCTCATAGAAGTGTCAGCACTCAAAGAGGAACACGTAAAAGAAACTCTAGTTTGTTTTGGAAAAGTAAGTAACTTCTAATAAACACTATCACTATAATATTATATCCATATTGAATCCCAAACTGTGCGCCGCGTCTTTTCACAGGGGCGCCACGTTATATATAAATACCTGACAATTTGTAATACTGTCTGTAAAAATGTAAATAAAGATTTTGAAGTGTAAAAGATTAATAATTAATTGAACCAAGACATATTTGGCCCAACTGAACTAAAAACAAAGTAGGCTAGATTTTTTTGGTTGGTTTGCTTTTATTTAACCCTGTATAAAAGTAAAAAGGCGCAGGCACAGAATATTCTTGGGAATCCCAGCCTGTAAAGTTGCACATTCTGGATCGCACTAAACCGGGACCGCCGTGAAGAAAAGAATGAGTTAATTCTTATTTCGCGGCGGCGCCGGCTAGACACGTCGAGGTGCGAATACTCTTTACGACAGACTTTGACTGTTCTGTAAAATCTTGTGGAAAGCATACAAGCAAGTGTTCCCGACTCGAGCCTAGTGAAATTAAACTCAGCGCTTCATATAAATAAACTGATATAAATCAGTTCATGTATTATAGTTATATTATTTTTTGTTGTCTTTGATAAATAGTTTTATAGTTTTTGCTCTCGTATCTTTTGTGAATGACCGATTTTTGAACAGATAATAAACGTAATAGTACAGATAAAGAAATTATGTTTTCAACCTGTGGCACATCACACGAAAATATCGGAAACATGGTGATGCATTGCTAACATCTTACAGGGTGGCTTACAGAATCACACAATGGAAGAAGCCTCATACCTCGCAGAAGAACTTATCCTACGTTGCTGGGGTAGATATGATGGACATTTTATAGTTGGCGAGTGTTTTTAAAAGTGCCTTTGTCAACGATCAATTAATTAAAAAAACTAATGAAGTGGAATTTGGATTGCAGCTAGATGGGACTACACGGATAATATTAAGGGTGCTCATTTGTTATGCTATGTAACATGGTGTTGCCTACATGCTAAACTGCATGGTTCGAAAAATTAACAGAACAATACAACTAATTATTTATAATTTTGTTCTTTTTAAATAATTGTTTAAGAAAGCATTCTTAACGTTGATCATTTTTAGGTACCCATTCTTGTACATGAAGCTGTTTTAATAAGTATTTGGAAACAAAAAGTTCTTCCTCAACTGTTGAAACTGGAGCCTTGTCCAGAAACTACCATTGTCGCCTATTCGGTATTGTACCATGAAGCCGTATCAGTGGCTTTATTAGAGCTAGTCTTATTTCATCCGAATTGCTGCGAAACGCTTGAAGACGCAGCTGCAGACCTGTTGGAATATTCTTGCAGTAATGTTTCTCAACTACTTTCAATTAAACCTATAGATCCTCCTTTAAATGAAAAATCAGAAAAGGAAATTCTTCGCCAAAAAAATAATCTATCATTTGAGATTGGAATAAGGTGTTTGACGATAGTAAGATATCTAGCAGAAAACCTAGATGGCTTGCCTGTTAGTACAAAATCTAAAATATATGGCGATTACGATGTGCCAATTCTTTTTACAGAGATATTATCAGTGGCTCCTTGGATCAAGGGTAATCAAATTTATACAGGAGGAAAGTGGAGAGACTGGGATAAGGAACAGTTAGGACAACATGAAGCACAAGTACGTTTATTATTGTCAAAAGAACACCTCTTGTATTTTATTTTTGCAATGATTCATTCGTATTATAGGTTTGGCTAACATTGCGTCAACTTCTACTAGACAACGAATGTTCAAAATATTATTCTTTGACTGACAGACATCGTGCTCAACTAGCAAAGTTGCTTCCTCTATTAACTCCTACACTCTTAGATCAGTTGTCACCTCTAATAGAATTGAAGCATTGGTTATGTCGGCTAAGTGTCATGGAAAAGTCTGCATCGCAACCCAAACCTCTTCTTATAGAGACAATACTTGACATAAAAGAAGCCATTCTCAAACAGACTGAAGGAAAATGGAAAACAATTGCTAAAAAACAATTATCAAATATTTTTCCTGTAGAAAGAGAAACGCTACATGAGATTGCAGGAAAGTGAGTATATTATTAGCAACTATTTACAACTTAAAAGGAATAAAGAAAACTCTAAATTAATAACATAGATATTTTTGTAACCAGTTAGGGAATGCCTTATTTTGAGTAACGAAGGAATATTTGCGGGTCGAGTAGAGGGAGGTCCCGCATTTCTAATTTTGACTGAATTATTTATAAAATTATTTGGTAAAAAATGACTAATCAAAAATGTTTTTGTACTTCCAATCAAAGATTTAAAAAAATATTTATTTTGAAAATCTACAAAGAAATGTCACATTTTATATAATTTGATTTATTCGAATGAACACAAGTGGTTAGTTCAAATATTTTTTAAATTAAAATATTAACTAATGTATGCTTTGCATCGCTTGAAGAATTTAGAATTGTCTACCTATGAAACCAATATTACTTTCGTTTGCATAACTTTCTTTGAACATCATAGATTATAATAAATTATTCAAAAACACTTGTTGTCGGGTAGCTTTTATGTTAAAACTTGTTAGTTTTCAAGAAAGTTGATTATTTTGTCTTATACAGAGTGAATCTGAAACAGTGTTTTATTTTCTGCAGAATTATAATGGAAAATAACAGAATTATTAAAAATTGTAAGTTCACTAACAAAATGTATGTTTATATAGCCAACCGTCCTTACTTCAATAAAAACTTTAAAAATCAAGGCATATATTAATTTTAAAACAAAAAAATGATTATTTTTTTTTGTTTCTTTTTCTCATCTGGTGACATAATGAACTTTTTGTAACCAGTTACATAATGTTCAACTGTAAGCAGTTGCTGCAATTATAAAAATGTAATTTATGTCAAAATTAGAAAAAATAATTTTTCACAACCTTTGAACTACATTAGAATTGTTTTGTTTGGCTCACTGACGTCACACCAATGTAGGCATCAAGATAGTTTATTTTCTTGAAATGTGAAATTTAAACCTAATATTGAAGTGACTTTACTTAATTTCAGATTATCTGATGCATATAATACAGAATTCCTTGAAAAGTTTGATGAAGCTAAAGGAGACGCGAAATGTGCTGGATGTGGTAAAGACGCGATTCAAAGATGTTCTCGATGCCACAAAGTTTGGTATTGCAACCGAGAGTGTCAAGTGAATCACTGGAATGAGCACAGTACCAATTGCTCACCATAATTAATTTTTTTTTGTACTAACTTAAAATAAGTAATGTTTCTTAATTACTTTTTGGTCTACTTGAGTAGTAACTAAAAGAAGTGGCATTGATTACTAAAGGGATACATTACCAATTACTTTTCTAAAAATATTTTTTTCAAGCCTACATATTTCAAAATCAGCTTTTAAATCTAAAACCTAACGATTATTTTAGAAACTAGCAATACTTTTATTTCAGTTATGTAAAACGAAAATTATCTAGGATTCTTCAGTTAAAAACACAATTAAAGAAAATGTTATGAGATGCTAAAAACAAAAGGCGACAAAATCCAGATTTTGTAGAACATGTGGAATAATTTCAAAAACCCATACTGAGATCAGATATTCATTAATAAAGTACTGAAGACAATGAACAAGGTTTTGACCCTTAGTAATATTTTGTTACACCAATGATGCTTATCAACGTATCAGTAATACAATATCAAGTCTGATTATATTGATGCATTAAAAAGTTATAGCTTCAATTTGTTAACCGTTTATTGTTGAAAATATGTATTAAAGTAGTTGCTTTGTATTTTGATATTTAATCACTGTGACAATAGAAACAGTCGTGCTTGTAAATAATTACTAGTCTTTATAGTTGTGCATAATTTGCTCTTTACTAAGACTGATATGTAATAACCTAGTTTTCATAAATACCCATATTCCATATGACCCAAACTTCAGGAATAACCACAAAACAATGCCACTAACGTATTTCACGGAACCAACAGTTGTTGTCACCAAAAAAGTATATTTTTTACTTTACCAAATTACATTGGATAGAGGTATTTTATGAAGGCCTTGCATTATCAAGACCAAGAGGTGATAATTTTTTGAAAACATTTTATTTCATTGGAAATTATGCATTTGAATTTCATGAAACAAAATCCATAAAATACCACAAAACATCAAGTCAAGTGATAGTGTAGAGATCAAATCATTGATATGTTACTCTGGTAACGAAATTAATTTTTTAAATCCTCTAGGGATTGAGTGAAAACTCTACCCCATGCAGTGTTTTCAAATACAGTTTGTTTTGATTGGCATGTTTTGAAAAAAGAGGATTGTCTATATTATAGTCTAAAATAATCACTTCAATATGTAATCAGAAAATGACCTATAAACATTGCGTTCGGTCCGCCAAGTTCCTTTAACACTTTTTACTCCAAACGACCCTTTTAGCGTTCGGTTTAGTCCGATTAGTGACAGTTTAACACGCTTAAATGTCATTTAAAAGCAGCCTAAAAAACTCTGCTTTTGTCCCGCTCCAGCCCCCGACTATCCGAACTCGCCTAAAGAAGAAGGATGTAGACGCTTTTTGTTGAAATTCACTTAAAATAAGTTTATCACTTAAATATATTTCCAAAGGTTTGATCAAGATGTGGATCACAAAAGTAGAACATTTAGATGTATTTTCGTCATCCCAGTGTTTAAATTAGATCTAATGGTATCACACATAATTTAAATGTCAAGTATGTAATTTTTAATTTTTTGTCAGAAAGTTTCCAGATCAAATTACTTTCTTAGATAATTTGTTAGTAAATATACAGATATGGTTGCAATTGCTTATTTTTTGTGTTAACCAATTATTTATTTGATTTATTTTAAATAAAAGAAAAGAAAATATTTTATGTTTTATTGGATAAAAAATTTTTACTTAGCATTCTTAAGGTAGTCTCTAAGGATATCTAGAGCTGGTGATTCCTCTCCATAATCCTGAAAATGAACGAAAAAAAAAATATTAAAAACTGGTTTTATACAAATAAATATAATTCTAACACATTTCAGATGGTTAGTCACTAAGCACTAGCTAAATTAATTGGGTAACTTCAGAAGAGACAATAATTATCTTAAATAAGTTGTTTGTCATTAATTAAGCTATATGAATAGCATGGCATTATTTGTTTATTTGCTCCGTGCGTGACAGCAGTGCCAATTCATTTTTGTACTAATGGACTATTTTTGCCTAATACAATTTTTAATAGAATTCGTAATTAAAAAGAATATATCTTAGCTTTAATAAAAGTATATTGATTTGTAAAACAAGTAAAAAGATATGTCATAAATTCTTCCTCAGATTACCAAAAAATAAGTGAATTTGGCTATGTTTACCTATATCAAAAACTGTCTCCCAACAAAGTTACACAGGGCGTTAAACTAACATTCAGAAATTTTTTTTTTTTTTTGTAAGAAGATTGCGGTTACGATTTTTTCTTTGAAATTTTTGCCAGTGCTGTAGTTTTGAAGGCCCAATATTCTAAGGAGAAAAAAAATTTAAAGCGACCCCTTTAAAAAAAGTTGGTGGTTGGGTACCTTTTAACCCCCTTGTTTTTTTTTTTAAATAAAGAAACTTGCTCTTAAAATCAAAAAGAACTATGAATAAATAAATTTTTTTTATAGCGAAATGAACTTTGTATCTTAGTTGACGAGCTATTTACAATTTTGTAACTGAATTTCTAGAGCAATTCGTCCGTCCTGGACTAAACATATCAACAAAACTAAGAGTAGTTCAGGAGTTATTGTACAAAAAAACGCATATAAAAATTAGTGGTGTGCTTGAGCCGCCCTTGCAAAAACTACCTATTTTATTTATATTTTTGTAAAAAAAAGTATTTATAATATTGGAGATTGGCGCCATAAAAATGGTGTGCCACCCGTCCTCATGGGTTCATCATACCACTGATAAAAATACACGTAAGTTTGGAAATGTATTTATTAAATATAATAATTAAAAAAAAAAATTTAAGTAAACAAAAAATTAACATTTAAAAATAAACACTTGACAATAATTATTATACATATTTTATAAACTATTTAATTTAATAAATGTTCTCCTCCTTCTTGAATACAAAAATAAAAAAGGTGATTTTTGCAGGGGCGGCTCAAGCACAGCCCTAGGCACACAACTGATTTTTATATGCGTTTTTTGTACAATAACTCCTGACCTACTCTTAGTTTTGTTGATATGTTAAGTCCAGGACGGACAAATTGCTCTAGAAATTCAGTTAAAAAATTATAAATAGCTTGTTAACTAAGAAAGATACAAAGTTCATTTCTCTATAAAAAAAATTAAAAATTCATAGTTCTTTTTGATTTCAAGATCGATAAAACAAGTTTATTTATGTAAAAAAAAAAAAAAATAAGCGGGGGTTAAAAGGTACCCAACCTCCCAAATTTTTTTAAGGGGGTCGCTTTAATTTTTTTTCTCCTTGGAATAATGGGCTTTCAAATATATAGCACTGGTAAAAAATTTAAAGAAAAAATCGCTACAGCAAACTTTTTACAACAAAAAAAACGTTTTTTTGAATGTTAGTTTAATGCCCTGTAACTTTGTTAGCGAGTCAGTTTTTGATATAGGTAAATATAACCAAATCCACTTATTTTTTGGTAATCTATCTGATGAAGAATTTATGACATACCTTTTTGAAACACCCTGTATATTTTTATCACTTAAACTAAAAAAGTATATTCAATAAAAATCAATAATAAAATAAAGACAGGCAACAGTATTTATGGGAAAATGTATAAGAAGTTGCCTGAGAGTCTAATAAGTTGTCTTTGAAGAATTAACCTATTGTCAAAATAAAAAAATACATTTAAATAATAGTGTGAAGTTAAAATGTATAAACAGAATGATTACACCAGCACACACAATACCCACCCTTGCAATATCTCTAAAAATAGATGTATGAACTGAATGAGGCAAAAGATTTTCTCAGATTTTGAACTGTTTTTTGTTGGTATCAAACTTTTTTGTTCTCAAATCACCTCCGCAGTATTTAGCGAATCGAAATACATAAGAATTATGCTTGGTTTCAATTCATAATATTTTTTTATTACTAATATCTTATTTTTACAATTTACTCGATATTGAAGGGTGGACGGCCCAAACTGACTTGAAATTCGGATTCAGCGGGTCAAAATACATGCCAGTAAGTAGGTCGTGTCTGATGTACAAACAACTTTTTGTTTTGTGTACTGGTGTTATTTATATTTTCATTTTTGTTCGAAAGAAAACAGAATGCATGATTAAAACTGGTTTCCTGGTTATTTTTATTAACTTACCCTAATTACAACACAGGAACATCCTACAACTTTTCGTGCTTTGCCAGTGTTATCAATTTTGCATAATCCTGACCACTCTCCTAGTTTTTTGTTATTATCTACTTTGATGAGTGGAATTTGATGCTCAGAACAAAGTGCTGAAACTAATTTTTTGTACATAGGCTCGTCGCAATTTTCGGCGAGCACACATAATACAGCTTGTCTTTTGTCTAAAGCTTTAGCAGCCTCATGAAGCCCATGTACAACTCCATCATGAATAAGCGCTGTCTTCAAGACTTCTTGGAGAGCTTGGTTTACATCCATTGGTCCTCCTGTTTGCACAGGGGCAATTGAGGGTGCATCATCACTGAAAAAAGACAATTAAGTTACTGCAATACAAGAAAAATAAAATAGGTATTTGGTATGTTTTTGTAGTTATTCAACAAATATGTCGAGTGTATAAAAAAAGGCAGAGAACAGTAGCCAAAACTGATTAGTCTCATTTAGATTAATTGAAAATATTTCGAACATCAATATTCTAAGGTTATGTACTCACACTTCGACATCAGACATTTTAGCCGTTTAACTGAAAAAAAGAAAAATAGTGGTATTAAATGAATCATATTAAAATAAATTTTAATTAAAGTAGATAAAAAATATTCGATGATTTAATTTACTATTTAAAAAAATAAGATCAAGTAAAATATTAAAGTACCTTTCGCAAGAACGACAGAAAAGAGAAAAGAAAATATTTTTGCAGTGTTACCAGTGTTGTTCCTAGGGATTTTTGAATTGTACAACTTTCAGTGTCAAAATTGTACACTTTTACCTTCGATTGTACAACCACTAATTAATCTTCTTCTTTTTTATTGTCAGACTATGGCCTACTACTTTCCCATGCTTAAAATTCTTCTTTTTTCCAGTTTAAAATATATTTTCGATGTAAAACCACATACTTATAATATATTTAAGTATGTGTGTAAAACGGTGTACTGATTGGTCGCGAATAGGGACCGTGCGTGAAATATAGAGGCAGCACTACTGCCGAACTTAGCCCTCACACGGTTTGAAAATAGGTCCCCTGGGGACCTATTTTCAAAGTATGTGAGCACTCCTTTCTCTCAAGATTCTCATCAGAAATGTCATACGTCAATGTGGAAACGCTGTATTTAAAGACATCGAGGATTAAAATTCTTAGGAGAATTTTAATTATCTCTAAATAAACCGAGAGAAACAGTCAGTGAGTTCACACTGGCCCTAAGAGCCCTAAAAATACGGTTTTACGTTGACGTATGACATTTCTCTTGATGGAAATGAATTCTCTCGAGTTTGAAAATAGCCCCCCAGGGGTGCTATTTTCAAAGTCGAGAGAATTCATTTCTCTCGAGAGAAATGTCATACGTCAACGTAAAACAGTATTTTTAGGGTCCTAAGGGCCAGTGTAAACTCACTGATTGTTTCTCACGGTTTATTTAGAGATAATTAATATCCTCCTAAGAATTTTAATCCTCGAGGCCTTTAAAAACAGCGTTTCCACATTGACGTATGACATTTCTGATGAGAATCTTGAGAGAAATGAGTACTCACACGGTTTGAAAATAGGTCCCCTGAACTAGCGCATTGGCATTCTGTAAAGTTTTGGAGAACTAGGTAACTAGGCAACAGTATTTACGAGAAAGTGTATGAAAAGTTGCCTAATGAAGTTATCAATTTTTTTTTTAATTAGTTGTAATATTGTAATACATTCTTTCGAATGTAATTTATACTTGTTTTCTTCATTTTTAGTTTGAAAGAAAACATAAAAATTATTAAATAGCTGTTTTCCAATTATTCAGTCACAAAATTGCATTCAGACAATAATCAAAGGCAGAAATATATCCTTTTTGAACCTCAACTTAAGGAATTTTGAAGAACATCGTAAACTAATAATAATGTAACCTTTCAGTTTTCTGATGTCTACTATTTTTAATAGGTATTATATAGATTGTCACAAAAATTAAGGTTTGTAATTACTTTTCCCTTCATAATGCAATTATAAGTACGTTAATTTCTTGATTTTATTTCCATTTTGTAACTAAAAATTTATAAAATTTACAGTTTTATCTTGCTAGTATTTATAAATTTACAACACAGCAACTCCAGTTGCTCATTGTATGCTTTAAACTATTTTTTTTTTTTAATAAATTAAATATATACGTATATTGATACGCGAAATTAGAAAATATCTCCCTAAAATGAACGAATTATCCGCAGCTAGGCCAGTATATTGCTTTTTCTTCCCCTACCATGACATCGCACTGAGCGAATAGAAGGCAGACATATGTTGCACAGGCCTTTTTCATAGTTTTGTTCAATGTAATTTTTCCTTTTATGTTAAATTAAAAAAAAAATAATTTTTAAAATCAGCTCATATGAATTAGAAAGGAAAATATTAAATAATTTAATTTCACAATATTTTCGGAATAAAAAGTTTTATAAGATCCTATGAAATTGATAATAACTCGATAAAATGCATGGACATTATTTATTTGCATTTTTCAATTAAAATGATTGAATATATAGCACTGATCTGTATTATTTTACTGGATAGGATATAGGCTATATTTAACATACTAAAAAATAGTTCCACCAAGGAGACCGGAAGTGCAACAATGCTGGCCGATTTGGGCAAATTATGGTGGGTTCACAGAACTAAAATTTGGGATAATTTGACATACCTAACCTATAATTTGATTAGTTTTTCTTCTTATTCTTCTTCTATTCCTTTTGCGGGCGATGTCCTTCGGGAAATTTCACCCATGATTTGATTTTTTATGAAAGAAAATATAAAAATGGAAACGTGAAGCATATTGTGTCTTCAGGAATGAACGTTTATTGTTTATTTCATACTCTTTTTACTTTGTTTTCCACAATAAAAACATCTCATCGTAGCTTGTTGACAGAATTAAATGACAAATGTGATGACAAATGGAAATAGAGGTTACGTTAAATAACATCCGGTCCGCCATAATGGGTCCTATGATTGAACGTTTACGTTATCCGTAACGTACATGTTAGGCTGAGTTTTAACAGTAATGAGGCAAGTTCGTAAGATAGAAAACTTTTTCAAATACATTACTGTTATTTTCCGCCTGTAATGTTCTAATTTAACAGTTTTCCATCATGCAAATTTGCCTCGTTACTGTTAAAATTCGGCCTAACATGTATGTTATGGATAACGTAAACGTTCAATCATAGGACCCATTATTTGCCCAAATCGGCCAATTTTTCGGAACGTTTTTTAGGGGGCTATATCCTATCCAGTAAAATAATACAGATCAGTGATATATAGTTATTAATACTATTTTACTATTGTTATTACGCTTCATACTAAAAAATACCGTATATGTCACAATGCATAATCGCATGCGCGTCGTGGCCTTAAACCACTGATATATGTAGTGCCTTAAACTCGTTGCTTATGCTTTAAAGGCTCGATTATGCATAAGTGTCATAATATATATATACTATTAGCTTCGTTCGCGGTAAAAATCCTGAACTGATTCAGAATTACTAATTCATACTTTGAGCGCATGCCCGAATCATTATCAATTCTGAATTTTTACCGCGCGCGCAATCCCTATTATATCTCGGTGTTTCAGGTATAGACAAGCGGTTCAAAACCAATAATTATTTCACCGCGAACGCAGGATAGAACCAATAGTTCAGTTCTTTTTGTTCCGCAAACGCTTTTTAACTACTGCGCCTGCGAAATCGTTACTGTTAGTAATAATTCGGTTCAGGATTCTTACCGCGAACAAAGCTATTAAAAGCATTGCTTTCTCTACGAGCGATGTTAGGTCCGGTTTTTCAATCTCCGGCTATTTAGGATAGCTGGCAGCTACGGAGATAGCCGTCAGCCACTGCCTGTCAAAACGTTTATCGACCTCCAGTTATACGATAGCCGTCAGCTATTCTGACTGTAACCGTAACCGACACTTGCAAGTGGTAATTTCGTACAGATAGCCGCCAGCTATTTATTGTACATGCGTAAGACGATGTTTGTTAAATTTAGAGGTTAATATTTTTATTAATTTTATTTCTGAAAAATGGGTTTCTTTGAATATATTTACAGCGACGATGCCAAAAAATAAATTATTTAAATTATTGAATATTAATCAATGGTGACCGTGTAATCCGTGTGTTGTAAGGGAACGGCCCATTTATTTCGATATCGATGAACTGAATTTTATTTTTTTTTGTTTTTTGTGTCATCGGCATCAACTGCTATGGTTATTAGCCTCGTGTTCTGTGTAGACTTTGTAACTGTTTCCCAGCGCCACTTTAGGAACAACACTGTTAATTAGTACCCAACAGTAAATGGTCGAGTGGGGAATCCTACCATTCACTGTTGGGTACTAATTAACAGTGCTGTTCCTAAAGTGGCGCTGGGAAACAGTAACAAAGCCTACACAGAACACGAGGCTAATAACCATAGCAGTTGATGCCGAATTATTAAATTTTAGATTATTCTGCAACCTTCTCATTTCGTTTCCGTGATATTGCATTTTCCGTTTTTTTTTACATTTTGTAAGGACCAAATTTCAATAGTAGGGCTCTATCTGATTCCGCGTAATTAGATATTTTCTCTTTTTTCTAAATCACCAATTGCCCAAAAACAGAAAATAACAAGATCTTAAAGAAAAATGGAAGCAAAATAGAACAATTTTTATGTGAAGGTCGGTGACGATCAACACAAGACACGATATGTAAAACGGAAAATTTAAATTATCCAATAAAAACCATTTAACAAATTAGCAGAAATGCCAACCTGTCTAAGAATAAATAAAAACTATTAGACTACGTAGCTAGCAGTTAAATTCGTGATGAAAAACACTTCCATCCATATTCCATTGGTAACAGGGACTTTGACTGCCAGCTAAATATAGCTGTCGGCTACGTAACAGCCACTTTGACTGGACATTGAAAAACCGACCCTTATAAAGACCGATTCCACCGTGGTGTTAAACGAAGTTTAAAATGACATTTTTACATTAACAATGTTATTTTAATCTCCGTTTAACACAACGGTGGAATCGGCCCTTATACATCTTACAGCCATTATATTACGAAAATATCGCTCGGTATTAATTAAAATAAACCGAATAACACGCAGGCTATATAATTCTTATAGCTCGCGTGTAAAATGTACTCGGTATATTAAAATACAAAAAAAAAAAAATAAAACTTAATTTTAACTTTAACATCCTGTATCTCAGAAGTAGATTTGACCCAGTGTTATTAAGGGTCGATTTCACCGTTGTGTTAAAATAAGTTTAAATTACTAAACGAAGATTAAATTGACATTGCTAATGTAAAAATGTCATTTTAATCTTCGTTTAGTAATTTAAACTTCATTTAACATAACGCGCAGGAATCGGCTTTTATAGGGCCGATTCCACCGTTGTGTTAAACGGAGATTAAAATGACATTGTTAATGTAAAAATGTCATTTTAAACTTCGTTTAACACAACGGTGGAATCGGTCCTTAGCAAAATAATAATATTCTGAGGTCCTGGATTTGTATGCGAGGTTCTGTGGGGACGTCATAAATCAACATTTGGCAAAGACAAAAGTGCACTTTACGAGCAGATTCACAAAAGTGTCTTTCCTGTTTATAAGTTAATCATTGACCGTGAACACGGTGTACTATAAGGTGTATCAACTCCTATTTAAAAACAAATGAAAACGGCGATAAAACCGATCGTACTTCCTAGCCAAAATCCGCTAGGTTCGCTAGTATCTATCCGGCGAGAAAGTAAATAAAAGATGAAGGTTGGTAGGAGCTGCAATTTGAAAAGTGTTAGATAAATATTTTTTAAAATCTTAAAATATATAAATCACGGTGGATCGTTGAGCTGTTTTTAATTGTGATTGTGGGAGAGTCTTCAACATATTGATAGCAGTTTTATAATGCCAAAAAACAGTTATACAGAATATGGTGCAATTATTTAGGTGGTATGG